GCAATTCGACTAGGAACAAAAAGATCTGCTTCCGAGGTGGCTCTTATGTTACTGGCATATTGGTGCTGGCTCCTGGCCAAAAGGTCCCCCAGGGCTCAGGACAATGGCCTTTGTGAATCTCCTTGCCAACCTTTCCATGTGATCTGTGCTTCTTCGGAGTATGGTGGCTGTGTTTTCAAGACCAACATCTGCAGAGAGCAAGGCCAGGCAGACATTGGATCATACTTTATGACCCAACAGTGAATGGCAGAAATGTCATATCAGATCATTTCTGCTACACACTCGTAGTCAAGGCAGGCTCACGTGTCTGCCCTGGTTGATTCTGTCTTTTGATATGGAATTGGCAACTTTCTGAAGAGCACATGGGACAGAAGATGATGTTGCTACGACAGACATTTTTAGCAAACACAATCTGCTACATCTACCTTCTCAGATTTGCCCCACCTCAACACTCCTCAGCATGCTTTACCCAGAGAACTCTCTCTCTAGGCCAGTGCTTATCAATTAAGGGCAATTTTGTCCCTTGAGGACATTTGGTGATATCCGAAGACACTGTCTTTGTGTCCACCACTGGGTGTGTATGGACTTGGCATCTAGTGGGTACAAGCTAGGTCTGCTGCTCACCATCCTGTGATGTTTGTGAGGTTCCTAACAGTTCCCCCACAACAAAGAGTTATCTGGCTAAAATGCCAACAGTCCCAAAGTGAGAAATGTTGCCTCCGATTCAGTTTGATGGAATAATTGTATTGCACTCAAAACCATACCATGTTCTTGGTGAGTTATCTGTAAATGTGAATTTGTTGAGGAATGGGTTGCTTGTGGCAATGATTCTGCTTGGCTGTGGATGTTCTAAAGATGCTGAGAATCTAGAACTACTGTTTCAGTGTCAACTCTATTCCATTCCACTGCTGTGTTGAATTGTAGATATTCTGAGACAGGGAAAGGTGTGAACCAATATTCTGGAGTCGAGGTAGCATCAATGAAAACTCAAACACTAGCTGTTTAATGACAGGAGAAAGTGAAGCCAAAGCTACACTGTGGCTTAGGCAGCACCACATTATCTTCCTGGTTGTTCAGTTAACTCTTCCTGGCATACACATGCCAAAGGGTCTAGACACCAAACACAAGACACAGCAAATATCTGGCCTCTGCTGGGGAGAATGCTTCTGGGTTCCCTTTCTCCCCTTTTGATTCCAAACTCTTTCATACACATCAGCTTCTCCTTTCCCATTTAGCTGCATTTGAATTTGTTAACCCAGTTTCAGGTTCTGCATTTTGGGATGGATAGGACAGTCTGGAGGTGGTTGCTTTGGTGTCTTAACATCTGAGACACTGACCTCTCAGGCCCTCCCAGGCTCTTGGGCACCTGCAGAATATCTTTCTTGGCAAGAAATGAGACTGACCCAACAGGTAGAAGTCTCCAATGTAGGAGGTAGGGCAACCTGATCATTATCCTGTTCACTACAGAAAAAAAAAAAGTGTGCCCTAAATGATTCAGAGCAGGGGCAATTCAAAGCCATCTATATTTGATTTGAAATGCATGATGGTGGTTTAGGATATTTTATGTTCTTAATTATGTTTGGCTGACACTACTCATTAAATTTAATTTTCTTTCCTTGAGCAGACACTATTTGGGTAGTTAGGCTAGCTGAGCATGGTTGGGCAAATAGAATCAAGAGGAGAAAATATTTTAATAATCTTCACCACAGATAATCTACCAAATTGCTAATAATCACGCTACAAAGAGTTATCACTGCCTGTAAATAAATGGGTAAATGCTCTAAGAAATTTAAATTCCCTCAAGTCAGAAATCTTTGAGAGTAGGTAGGAAGCAGTTTTGTACTATGGTTAAGGGCTGATTTCTAATACAGTTCTTTTACTTACAAACTGCTAAACTTTGGACAGGGTTCTTAACATTTCTGAGCCAGTTTCCTGGCATGACACTTTTTAAAGCACCCTCCCTATAACACAACTAGATTTTGGAGAAATTACAAGAAACATCAAACTTGCATTTCGAAGATAGTTAAGGGGTTCCCCCAGTGGCAAATAATCATAATAATAACAACAACAATAAAAAGGACTGTTAACAGAAACTGAGTCATTAGCATTCAGCAAACAAGAAGGCTGAGTATTGCAACTGTGAGGCCAAAGCTTCAAGTCAGAACAGGAGGCCGTGGCCCACGCAAGAGTGGGCCCTGAACTTGAATTCGTAATGTAAGCCACAAGGGACATTAACCTTAGCCTAAGATTGGCTTCCAAGTACACTGCAACAAAGGAAGCTTAGCAAAACCCAATCTGTCTCCACAAATGTTCTGAAGTTAAAAAAAAAAAAAAAAGAAAGAAAATCAAATAGGAAAACAAAAATGAAAATAATACTCTCCCCTGACAATTAAAAACATCCTTTCACCTGGGCCCAGAACAAAGCTGAAAGCTAAAGAACTAAAATCTAGCTTAATAAGGAGCTAGAAAAATAACACAACAAAATTAATCCAAAGACATGGAAGATACATGCTCACACACATATATTGCTAATGGCTGGGAGCCGTTAAAAGCAGTTCCTTTAAAGCAAAAATAATCTAGACTCTGGAGACTAACTACCAAATACTTGCATTCAAATTCTAAGTCTGCTGTATGCCACCTATGTGACTTTAGGAAAAAAAAAAAGGATTTTGACCCCCCCCCCCGGAAAAAAAACTTCTGGGTCCTTTTATGAAGATTAAATAAATTAATTGATTTAGCACAAACACTTAAGCTACACAGATTTAGCTAAAACACTTAGAATACGTAGTAATTACTGGATATATTCAGTATTAACATTACCATTACTGCTTCTATTTCCCATTGTACCAGGGACCTAGGTAGCAGATTAGAGCCAGAAAAGATGTCATTATGAAGATACAAGATGGCTGCCTTCACAGATAAGTCAAAAAGTATCATGAGAAAATTTATTAGAATTAGCATGTGTTTATTATAGAATATAAATTTATTAGAATTAATGAGAGGTTTTAGCATAGTAACAAGATGTAATTGCAAAATGCAGAAGGCATTGCTAACAGGAAATTCAATCCAGCGATACATATTAAAATACCACCTCACATTGGCACATGCCTATAATCCCAGTGGCTGGAGAGGCTGGGGCAGAGGATCAAAAGTTCAAAGCCAGAGAATCAGCAACTTAGCAAGGCCCTAAGAAACTTAGTGCCACCCTGTCTC